GCACGCGCCCTTTAGAAAAACCCCCTCCAAAAAAAAAAAAAAAAAAGCCACTGGATTTCTGTACACTACCTTGTCTCAAAATGAATGCCTGCATTTTAGGGGTTTTATGTCAGCATCTCACTTTCAGATATAAAATTTTGTCCTTTTTACTATTGTTATACCCCCAAATTCACTGACTTAATATGACAATTTAATTTTGCTCATGATTTTGGGAGTCAGAAATTTATGGAAAGGTTCAGCTCTCCCTGGGGATCTCTCATGCTGTCAGGTGTTGACTGGTGCATCAGGCATCTGAAAGCCCACCTAGGCTGGTAGTGTGCACTAATTATCCCTGGGAATACAGTTGAAACTGTTGACCAGTACCTTCTATGTGGCTTCTCCATGTGGCTTGGGCTTCTCACAGCATGGTGACAGAATTCTGGGTTTGTTGGTATTAACTTTCACCTTGGCTCCCTATTTTCTCAGCTAATAGGGACAATTATTGCTGGGAAAGATTAAAAATCGAAACCAAAACAAACTGGACTCCTACTTCAAGTGCTTCCTAAACACATACAATAATGAACTCTCTTTCAACTGGAATTCCATTTAAAAAGAAAATGAAATAAAAATCTTTGAATGGTAAAATTGTACAATTATTGCATACATAATGTTAGCAAAAGGATAACAAAGAATAATTTGCATAAAATAAATATTCCTATTCTTTGTTCTGGTTAGTACAATAATTGAATAGCAACCATCAGTGAAGTAGGACAAAAGAGGGCTATTATCATCAATGTCAGTTTGATCTTTCAAGGACATTTGATTACCTTCTACCCAGGCTCCACTTCATCTACTCAAACTGAGGTTCTGCTTTCCATCAGTTGAATCTTAAGTGCCTTTGTTGTATTCAAGTATTACCCTACTTAGCCATATTCCACATAAATGGCAAAGAGCAGTTTCTTCTGACCAGATTTAGTGAGAAACATGCCATTTTCATTGTAATACTTATGAAAATATCATAGATGAAAGATAACTCTTCAAATGTCCTGATGTAAAGAGATGGCAAAAGATGCCAAAATACTTATAACCTAACAGTGAAATTGACTTAGCATCATCTTTTGTTAAATGATGGTCCAGATTCTTTCATGTTAAAAAATTCTTATCTCAGGGCCAGCCACTGCCATAGTGGTTAATGTGTTGAACTCCCATATGGTAGATTATAGTATGAGTCCTGCACCCAGCAGCTTAAAAATAATTCCAGATGTGTTTGTGTTTGTGTGTGTGTGCATGCGCGCACGTGTGCATGACTAAAAATCCTAGGAGGAGAATGAAGGAGAAGAGATTGTGGTGTGTTCATTCCCCCTTGGGGATGACTTTTCACTTTTCCTCTTTCTTGCTCTCTCTCTGGTGAGCACACGTGCCCTATGGCAAAAAACAAATGAAAATTCTTAACTCTTCTGGTAATTTTCCTCCTGCAACACTGGATATAACTGAAAGCTGTTTATTTTGCAAACAAGCCAGTAATAATATTTACTGTTCAGAGATGTGAAAAGTGTGTGTGTGTGTGTGTGTGTGTGTGTGTGTATTAAACTTTGTAAGTCATTCATTTTAATCAGTGTCACTGGGGTTAATTTATTAGGGGGAAATCACTATTAATCTATTTAACAGAGTTTTTCATTCAAAGACACTTGTCCTCCAATTCCTTATGTCAAATGAGACATTCACAGATGGAATCTGAAGATCTTGGACAAGAAGGCAAATTTCTCATCCTGTGCCAGAAGGAACAATAGCATGTACTTCCCTATTGTGTCTACAGGACAGTGGCAGTGGCTTTTCCAGCTCGATAGAAAGACATAGAGGCTTTCTCTGTGGATTAGATTAAACTGTCCTTGGGATAAGGAGGAAAGATATATTTGAGGATGAAATAAAACCTCCTACTGGAAAGATTCTAGCACAGGTTGAGATATTTGTGAAGTTGCTATGTACATTCAAACTTTAATATTCAAAATTATAGGTTGCTATAGGAACAATAAGGTAAATTATATTTAAGAGAACTTTATTAAAATTCAGAACAACTAGAAAGCATTCTTGGGTTTTATTTAATTTATTCCTTACAATATTTCTGAATAGTAAATGGTGTTTCTGTATTTCTAGGTGAGAAAACTGAGGTTAAATAATTAGCTCAAGTTACCTAGTTATATGAGGGAATTCCAGGTATGTCTAATTACAAATCTTTCTCTTATGTAACAAATTTCAATTCTATGACAAAAGTAAAAACAAATAAATTGCAGATAAAAAAGATGTAAGGGAGCCAGCAGGTGGCATGGTGGTTAAGGCACTGGACACTCCCACATGGCCAATGACAGTTCAAGTCCTGGATCTGGTGGCTTGGTTTGCCACTTTCCCTCTCTCTCTCTGTGTCTCTGTCTAGTCAAATTAAAATAAGTAAATGAATAGATTAAATTAAATTAAATTAAATAATTATAAAAAAAGAAAGATGTGTCCCAGAGTTAGAGGAGCTAAATTCTATTTTTTGTATAGATAAATTCACTTTATTCTATTATTCAATTTATGGATTATACATTGTACCAAAACTAAATTCATGTTTAGAAGTTATATTATTTATTTATTTATTTATTGTTAAGGAGCCAGTACCTTTGTGTGAGAGAGAGAGAGAGTAAGGAAGTAAAAAATCATTCTTCAGGGGAATGACTACCTACAATCCCTTCGCCATTCTGCTCTCAGTATTTTATTTGGGGCATGCTCATACATGTGCCCCACCCTTTTTTTTTAATGGATTTTTGCTATAGGGTGTGTGTGCTCATCAGAGAGACAGAAAGTGAGAAGTCACCCCCCACCCCCGCCAGAGTGATGACCATGCCACAATCTCTTCTCCTCCATTCTCCTCTCAGAACTTCAGGTATACATGCATGCACAAGTGCTTGGTGTGAGTTTAAGCAGCCAAGTTTGGGACTCGAACCATGGTCAACTATGTGAGAGTCAGTGACGTACCCATTACGCCATCTGCTGGTCCTGCCCCACCTGATTTTTTAAAATAAATTTATTTATTTTACATTCACTCGCTGTACATCATCACAGCATACAAAGTGTGATTTCCTATCCAGAATACACTTACATTGGTTTAATCAAGGATATTGCCATACATGTTACTGTCAACAAATAATTTTCTATTTCTAGCTTCTTAATTTTTCTTTTTCCCTTTCCCTATCTGTTTTTAAGTCACTAGTCAGGACTTGAATTGTGCAGTTGGTCATGTGGTATCCAGCGCTTTAACCACCACGCCACCTGCTGGCCCAGAAGTTAAAATACTTCAAATATAAGAATGTTCTGAAGGCCTTAGGAGAATTTACGATAAAGTTTTTGGTTTATGCTTTTTTATTCGTTTCTTCTTTTTGCCTTCATGCATTTTTAAAAAATTCCCATTCTATATAGTTTTATGCATGGTAATGTTGATATTTTCTTTTGGAAATTTCTTTCAATGGCTGTCCTCAAAGTATTTCTCTTAATGAAAGATAAAACTGAAGAACAGGGAAAAGTATTTTCTATTATTCCCTAGGTAGGCACAACTTTCTTTCTGCTAATACATTCTGTCTAAACTAACTCTAGGCCATTCATTATAAGCCCAAGAGGCTAGTGTCTGATTCACAGCCCCATCCTAGTAACAACATATTAAAGTTTCAAGTCAACATCTAAGGGACAGGACTTACAACTCTGGAGCAAAAATATGTATAGTACACTCATACACAGTTATGAAAACATTTTACCGAAAATATTTACAATATTTTAGTCACGTTTTAAACATACAAATGAAGTTTTGTCTTTGTTTTCACTATCATAGGAAAATACTTAATCTAGTAGTAAATAACAGGATACCTTTTTCGGTGGGCAAAGAGGAAAGGACTGCTATGTTAATGAATTATCGGGTGAATTCCTTAATAGTTATTTCTTCTTTTTAATTTGTTCATAAAAAAGAAAAGTTTACCAGTCCAGCAGGTGGCATAGTGGGTAAAGCATTGGATTCCCATATGGCTGACTACAGTTCAAGTCCCAGATCTGGTGGCTTGAAACTCATGCTGGGCCTCTGTACATACATACACAAAATACCAAGAGGAGAAGGGCTTGTGGTGTGGCCATCCCCCCAGGGAATGATTTCTCACTTTCCCTCTTGCTGTACTATCTGTCTCTGTGGCAAGCACATGTGCCCTATAGCAAAACCAAAAAAAAAAAAAAAAAAGTATATGTTATGTAAACTGATCTAGGCCTTACTTGTTATTAGCAAATAACATGAACATAATAAGCTGTCTAATAAAACTTCAAAAGTAAAAGAGATTACAAAGACTCCACAAACTTTTTAAAAAATTTTTTCTATAATTTATTTTATTTAAGTAATTTGGACTTTGTTTTCCTAAACTGCTTGCAGTTTTGAGATTGTGTCTAGTACCCAGGGAATCCTGCTGAGGCACACTTCTCCCAGAAAAGACAACAATCAATGATAAGAAAGCTCTTAGAAAATAATCGTTAAAAACGTGCAATTGACCAAGTTGTTCCATTATCAAATGTTAAATATTTTCTGTACCTTTATTTACTCACCCACAAGTCCTAAAAGAATGTAGCCAAAAATGAACAGTAGGAAGATTATGCAGCACAGAACATCTGTACAATTCCTAAAGACAAAAAGGAACGAAGAATTAAAAGGGGTCCAAAATGACTTCTTTACTGCACAGAAAACACAGAGAGAGAAAAAGATAATAATAGGGACATTCCATCTTATATCCAATAATTCTGAAAAAGGTTTCAGAAAAATCATGACATATTTTCCTATGTTTTTTTTTCTATGCAAAAATGCATTGTGACTTTTCTCACAACCCAATATTTCTATGAAGATTTTAGCTACAATGGAAAGGTCACAGTTCCATGAATAAAGAGGCTCTCTCGTCTTAGTCTGTATTGTCTCTTGGTACTCTATTTGTAAAATGTTTTATAGGTTAGACTATGGCAAAGTCAAATATTAGGTTTTTTTTTTTCATTTGAAATTGTAATTTTAGCTATTTGATTTTATGATTTTCCATTTCATGCCTCTCCACATGGTATAAAATAGACACTCTTCATTCCTCCTTTTTTATTTTCTACAGAAACATCTTAAGGACATTATTAAAGAAAGAATTGACTTATTAACTTTGTTTGGGTAATAGAGTTATAACTATTCTAACAACAATGTATATAAAGCATTAAAAAATAAAATGCAATAAAATTTAATTTTCTAGGGCTGGCCTTGTAGCCTATTGGTTAAGGGAGCTGGATCTCATATGATGGATCAAGATTCAAGTTCCAGTCCTGGTGGCTTGAAAAACACGCAAGCATATACGTATGCAAGTCCCAAATCATGAAAGATGGAGAAATGATAAAGAGGGGCCTACAGCAAGACCATGACCCATGAGTGAGGGATTATATCTAGCTCACAAGATAGCTGGAAAGATTATTTTCAAGGTATTATTTAATTTTTTTTGAGAGGTTTTGCAATAGGGTGCATACACTTGCCAGAAAGACAGAGAGAGACAGAAAACGAGAAATTCCCCCCAGGGGAATTTCCCACAATCCCTTCTTGATTCTCCTCTTGGGATCTTGGGCACGCACATACACATGCCCGACATGAGTTTAAGCCACTGAGTCTGGGACTCAAACCATGGTCGACTACATGGGAGTCCAGTGACATAGCCGTTACATCAACTGCTGGTCCCTTTTTAATGTTTTATATACATTGCTATTAGAGTAGTTGCAACTCTAGTCCCCATAGAAAATTCATGCAATCAATCCTTTATTTAAGAGAAGTAATTACAGACATAGGCATGTAACTAGATCTCCAGTGCCTAATGTTTTTCATTTGGTAGGTATGTTAATATGAGTTATATGTTTTTATGAATGTTCGAAAGTATATCTTAAAATAATCATACATATTCCAGTAACTCTACCTCAAACAGGAAATGGATCTTTCATAGAGAAAGCTAATCATGAGTAATACAAAAACAAACTATCATATTTTAAAATCCAATTTTAACCCAGGAATTTTTTTTTTACTTCATTTGGATTTAATAATTATGAGAATAGTAACAAAAAGAGAAGAAAGCAGGCACTCTACGTTTCTTTGGTTTAACAACTAGTGAAAGCAAAATCCTGCTTGGATGAGGGAAGAATATCTGCTGTATGTACATTCTGACACATTTTACTCAAGATCAAGTTCTCATCCTGTCAGAGCTGTTGTTAAATAGCCCAACACCTATGAGGAAATGCCTGCAGGTAGGGAAGAAAGGAGAGGAAACTAGAGGACTGGTGTGCTTTAATTAGAAATGTAGCAGTTGAGAGACCAGCAGTTAGCATAATGGTTCTGTCGCTGGACTCCCACGTAGTCGACCACGGTTCCAGTCCCAGACCTGGTGGCTTAAACTCACACCAGGAGCATGTGCGTGCGTCCGTGCCCAAGATCCCGAGAGGAGAATGGAGGAGAAGGGATTGTGGTGTGGCCATCCCCCTGGGGGGTGGGATTTCTCTCTTTCTGTTTCTCTGTCTCTCTCTGTCTGTCTGGAGAGCGCACAGGCCTTATAGCAAAAACCTCTCCAAAAAAAAAAAAAAAAAGAAATGTAGCAGTTGTCAAGCCCTTGTGTGTAACTGTAGCTACCAAGAAGAGGGAGAGAGGGGTGCGATCAGAAGTCCCAGTCAGACAGGGCCATCATGGTGTCATTACATAACTTTAATGTGATATGGCTATACTTTAGATTTATATTATATGTAAAACATACCATAATGCATATTCATAGTGACCTAAAGTCACATATAATTATACTGATGTTATGTCAAGTGCAGGAAGAGGTAAACATACTAGAACTATGAATGGAAGGAACTTACCAAAGGATAGGGCACTAGGAAAGAAGCAGACCCGGCAAAACCCATACATTTTAACAACTGACACTTATAAACTGGCATCAGTTTGACTTTCAGTTTCCTTTGGGATTGGACACTAAGATTTCTCTATCTTTTTTGGTGCCCAGGACACACTAAGGCATCACTGACTGTTTCAGGCCCATACAGCCAGTCTCCTAGCACCTCTCACTATAGCAGGACAGTATTTCTCAATAATTCACACCTGATGGTGTTCGGGATTCTATGCAGGGACCAGGGAAGATAATATCTTCCAGACTGCTTCGTTTTTCTGGTGCACTGCTATAGAGAAATAACAGACCATATCCAATGGCCAGACTGGTTAATTTTTTCTTCTTTTATTTAAACATAAAAGGATGTTGAGCAAACTGAAAATTATGAATGGAGAATTTAAAATTCCCAAATAAAGAAACATCAATATTCCTAAATTTGCTCCTGCAGTGATTTGATTTCCATCATTGTTTTAGATATTTTCTTTAAAAAATATTCTTGTGTATGTGTATTTTCAGGTAATTCCAATTACTTGCTATTTTTTTCTCTTCCTCTCTTCAGACATTCAGTCCAGAAAACAGCAGTTTAGTGATTAAGAGAGTCACTGGAAACCTGAATTTGAACAAAATATAGCTTGGGCACCATTTTGTGAGTTGAGGAACAGAGCAGAAGCTCAATTCAAATTTTTAGAAATACAGCATCTCATTATTGTTCCTCCATTTTGATTTCAAGGCTTCTGTCACAGTTTCTAAATGTTCTACAGAAAATTAGTTATTATTTATTTATTTATTGGAGAGGTTTTTGCTATAGGGCGTATGTGCTCGCCAGCCAGACAGAGAGAGACAGAGAGATGGAAAGCAAGAAATAACCCCCCAGGGGGGATGGCCACGCCACAATCCCTTCTTTTCCATTCTCCTCTCAGGATCATGGGCATGCATGCTCACATGCCCAGCGTGAGTTTAAGCCGCCGGATCCGGGACTCAAACCACAGTTGCCTACGTGGGAGTCCAGCGACATAGCCATTACACTAACTGCTGGTCCCTTAGAAAATGAGTTTTTTTTTAAACCAAGGATTTAATTTGGATAATTTTTAAAACTCTCAAGGCAACTATCAAGACAACTGGCTGATATGAGCTCATAGATGAAAAAACCATTCTGAATCATATTCTAGCTAGAGCTCTGCCATAGCTGTCTATACTTTATCCTTAAGAGGATTCGTTCTTACTGTCACAGCAAGCACTAAGAACCATTGTACTAAAGTAGACATGGGTTGCCTCTCACTGGGTCCCAGAAAGAAGGCAGAAAGGGTAATTATAAATACGTCCAACTGTCTCCTTCACCCGCCTCCCTCCAAATTGAAATCCCACTTTTTCAAATCAAGCTGGTCACACCCACATTTATCAGGGAGCCACTCAAAACTCTATTCAGATTAACTTTTATTGGCATAAAAGAATTTTCAAAAGTTAAACTATGGAAGTACCATTGTTTCATTATTATTTATTTCCCAAATGACAATGAGAAGAATAGCATGCCAACTGTACCTGTATTGACAGTTTTCCTTTTTCCTCCATCTCTATCCCACAAATATAGCATAGCTATAGTTGCTTAGACTTAAAATGTTAGCAGTTTCCTTTGACTTTCCCTTTTCCTTAGCTTATCTTTTATATTCAATTGATAAGTTCTCTTGACTCTTTCTCTCTGATGTGTCTTTCATCTACTCTGCCTTTCTATTCTTATTGTCTGGACTCAGTTCACGTTTTTTTATTCTCTTTTTAAACTATTGCCACGGTCTCTTAATTGGGCTCCCGCAGGTAGTCTCTGTCTGATCCAATTCATTCTGCACATCACTGATATCACTGATATGTGATGTCACTTTTTCTTACTTAAAAATTCACAGTGTCTCTATGACAGAAATTAAAAGATCTGAAGCTATGATAGTAGAGAGGATAAGTGTAGATACCAGAGAATATAAGGGAGGGGTACAGATAGTAGAGTGTGGACAGGAGGGGCAAAAGAAAGAAACATTTAACAGACAAAAGAACATAAAGCTCTCTATTAAAAACAAAATCTGTAATTTTTGCTTTATAGAAAAATGAAAATAACAAAAAGAAATTGACAGTGCCTCTTCACCACCAATTTAATCATTTCTAAATGTCTTAGCCTCATGTTTAGGAACTTATAAGTAAATCCTCATTCAAGCCCCAGTCTATTTCTAGCTTTACCTCCTAATATTTCTCTTCATGTATCTAACAAATTGGGACATTTTCAATCATTGATACACAGTGCACTTTCCCTTGACCATATATCCTACTTTGAATACAGTAGCTACTGTTTACAATAATTTTCCCCAAGTAACACTGCTCCATATTACTCTCAAAAGTGTCTTGGTGTGGATGTCCACCTCATCTACTAAAATCCCATCCCTCAAATCAGCTCAAATATCACTTCCATGAGGTTTTCAACTAGAAGACAACCCTCTCATCTCTGTAGACCTACAGGAATTTTCTTATCCATCTTTAAGGCTTTATGTTATCTATTATATCCCAGACCAAAGGTGGTAAACTATAGTCTCTGAGCTAAATCTGGTCTGCAGCCTGTTTTGGTACTTTCTATAAGCTAACAATGACTTTATACTTTTTTTTTTTTTTTTGAGAGCAAGAGAGATTTTTGCTATAGGGTGCATGTACTTATCAGACAGAGAAACAAACAGTGAGAAATCACCCCCACCCCAGGGGGGATG